AAAAAATTCTATGACGTATCTATATTTTTTTTCATCGTAGAAAGACGATACATACACCATTCGACTCGGCTTTTTTTTCTTTATACAATGCAATTAAAAGTCATTTTAGCCAATTTTTGAGATACGACATTTCCGCTTTCTGCCGTCGATATATTTTTAACAGATTTTTACAACAGTAGCAAATTTTGATGTAGCATGTATTATCAATATTATCGACTACAGTGAAGACAGGCAGGAAAGTAAATCTACTATGAATTTTTTAGACAATTGTAATTAGCGATCAAAAATTATACTACAAGAATAAAAATCTATTCAGAAATTTTGATATCGCGGCGAAATGCGAATAGGTGAAAAGCTACAAGGATTTTTTGATTTCGAGGTATACGACTAACAAACGGTTTTTACCCGGGTCTATTCTTTGAAGGGCCGCTCCTCTGATCAGCATCGCTGCAGACCGTAATACTAGTACTGACCTGCGGTAGCGTCGGTCTCCCTCTGGTGCGGGCGCGCGGCGACGGTGGCGGAGAGCCAGGCCAGCTCGGCGTCGCCCGCCTTCCGCCACACGATGTCGCTCATCAGGCTGTCTGTGAGCTTCACCTGGGAAACAGAACAGTTAGTAATTATAGTTCTTGCAACTCACGAATTCGAGGAGTTTTACAGTACCCGGCAATAAATATTGCACATCGACCTTTGGAAAGAGAATCGGTTAATTTCGGCTCGTAGAGCATTATCTCTGTCGCACACTACCTATACGATTGACAAAACATTATTCAATGAAAATATTGTCCGAACTCTTAGTACCTATTTCTCTTCGACAAATACTTTAACACATTGTGAACTACTTTTCTTTCACGACTAAGTATAAAAAGTTTTTAGCAATTTAATTCACAAAATCAATTGCACACATTTAAAATAAAGTTTGTTTACACTTTGACAAAACGTCATTGTCAGTCATTGTTCAAGTGCGACAGTGATAACGCTCTACGAAACCGAAATTAGCCGATTGTCTCTTTCTAAAGGTCGATGTGCAATATTTATCGCCGGGTATTGTACTTGTGTGTACGTGTACACACGGCCACACTGTTAAATTATTATAACTATCCATTTCCGTTTTTGCTCTCGCTCTCATCAAATGGTGATTCTTTGCGATAGAACGAGACGACATGACCGGCAATGGGTAGTTAACACTGTTGCCGATAGTACATGCACATAACGATAGTGCAATATCTATCAAAACTTTTGAAAGACGAACAGTAGCGAGCCACAACACATGAAAGCTCACTCGCAGAAAGTGTCTTCATTTAACATTTTTAGAACTTAGTACTTTCAGTTCCAGAGTCCCTTGACCATGAAGATGGGATATTAAATTTTGTTAAACCACAAGAACTCGAAGAGACACTTCGATTTGTCTCATAAACGCAGCTCTAAACTATCAAAATTGGTCTCAAAACTTGGGGTTTAAGTTGAACGAATCTTTATATATAAAAATGAAACCCGTTTTCCGTTGTCACGACATAACATGAAAACGGCTTGACCGATTTGGCTGATTTTTTTTGTAGTTTTCTAATACTCTGTACAAGGTTTTTACGGAAAAAAATATAAAGAAAATCTCTACGCTAAGGCGGTACGAAGTTCGCCGGGTCAGCTAGTAAATAATAAATTAAATGCTCTGAAACTAGCAAAAAAAATGTTACCCATTAGATTCTGCCCTGTGATATTGCACGCGCATGAATTTCGGATTTTCTGCCTTGTGAAGAGCGAATACATCATATTTGACGACATTTTGATTATTTACTTACTTGGTAGATGTGAGACTCCGTGGTAGCATCAATGATGTCGCCACGGTTCGGAGTGAAGATCTTCTCTATGCCTTCGTTCTGGCAGTGTTTACTGTAATCAACATCAACAAAATTTAAAAAAAAGTGTTATTTTCAATACTAAAAGCAATTAAAAAGCTTCGTAATTTTTAAGTCTACTGAATCATATTTTTCAAGAATCAGCAGATTTCTTCGTCATTTTACCTACACGATATTTATATCCCAAAATACAAAATCCACTGACTCGTTTTTGAATGTTTACAAAATTCGGAGTGAAGATTCCTTAGGCAGGGTAATCACCTGCCATGTAGCACGTAACGTAGCATGTAACGTAACCAACCTTTAAGTGAGTACGGCTCGTCCACGGTCATCGCGTATCTGGCTGCGAGCTCCAGGATCCTACTGCGAGCCGCCTTTGTGCTTGCAGTGATACCGCCAGTCGGCGGGTCGCCGCGATCTCCCTGCGAACCACGCGCGAGCAGCTCGCAGCGGGCTCGTGTCTATGTACTCACTTGATACAGTATCTGATACATTACATGCTACACGGCTAGATGATATTATTTTTTTTAAGACACAAGTTGTTGCAGGTAATATTCGCTGTGAGTAGGTATTATTACCTCGAACGCAGCGTCTGCGAAATTTTCAGAAACCAGTTGCAAAATTGTAGGACACTAGTCACCTTGAATTGGTTATTAAACCTTTATTTGTCACCTGTCATCCGCTTTGCAATGGAGGGAAGGCGAGCAGCGGGCTCGTGCCTATGTACTCACTTGATACAGTATCTGATACATACATTACACGCTACACGGCTAGTGCTGGATTTCTATATTCAATCCTAATGCAAATTGGACGGATTTGGATTGTCAACTGTTAAATTTAAATATGTTTTTGGCCAAAATATCTGCGGTTTTTGATGTTTTTACATTTATATATTGTTTATAAGACTATTTAAATAATATTGAAGTGTAAATGCATCGAACATTTTGGAAATATAATCTAAAACTGAATTCAATTTGACAGTACTCCGGATTTGGACAAGGATTGAATATAGGAAACGGGCGTAGATGAGTACCCTGCTTAAGGTCGAGAGTTGGATATGAAGCTTCTTGGCGCTCCTTCCCCTTTTTTGTAAAGACTCAATACTTTTTTGACTTACCTAAGCGTCATCAAGGCCGTTTCGTTGGCTCGCAGGCCAACAATAGCCCTCGGCTTGGCGTGCGCCACTAATCTTAGTAAAGATTCGCCGTCGCAGCGGCCTTCCAGCTCGATGTACTGAACGCTGGCTTTCACGCTCACTGTGCGTACTACGCTCACGCACTTGCTAGGGACTTCTGTCACCTCCTCTGTAACAACAATATGCACCATATATCTAACAGTAATAAAATTCAGTTTGTATCAACAGCAGGTCTACTAGTTCTATACAACATGTTCGTTTTCATACAAATTAATTCGCCAAATAAATATACATAAATACGACTATCTATGTAAAACACTTTTACATGAAATATGACAATGTCGCACTTTCTTTTAAATTATGAATGATCTAACAAATCAATGAAAACTATGTACACACATCAGCCTCATGACATGTTGTATCTCCTACAAAATAAAAGCGCATATTGCAGTGCAACAGTTACACTTAGTGTACTGTGGTCTGTACTAGTGTCATTATTTAAACGTCGCAATTATAAAGGCTAAGTCATAGCGGTGACAATTTAAGAACTAATATTATTAAAAATGATGATATCTTCGAAAATATGCATTTTGGGACACATGTTTCTTGGACATTTTAAATTATTTTTATGTACAGAATATACCCTTAAAGTTATGGGATATCAAAAGGAACACGTTGTATATTGCTAGATGGCTTTCACGGTAACTGTGCGAACTACGCTCACGCATTTGCTAGGAACTTCTGTGACCTCTTCTGTAACAATTTAACACCGTAAGTTTAAGATCATAGGGCTTAGTTTGCATTAACATCAGCCATCTAACAGTAACTATTAAGTAATCGGTGTAATAAAGTTCGATATTGAACGCTGGCTTTCAGACACTGTGCGAACTGCGCTCACGCATTTGCTAGGGACTTCTGTCACCTAGGGATCTCTATAACAACGAAAAACGCACCGTATGTATACGCTCATAGAGGTTAATTTGTACCAATAGCGGGCCTCTAGTTCGGTATTATAAATAAATAAAATAAATAAATATCTTTGGACAATCTCATTGGTATTGAACATTGGCCTTTACGTTCTCTGTGCAAACTGCGCTCACGCATTTGCTAGGGACTTCTGTCACCTCTTCTATAACAATGTAACATGCACCGTAAGTTAACGATCTTAGGGCTTAGTTTGCATTAACATCAGCCATATAACAGTAACTATTCGGTGTAATAAAGTTCGATATTGAACGCTGGCTTTCAGTCTTTGTACTGTACGCACAGCACTCACGAAGTTACAGGGTCCTGTCACCTTCTCAGTAAACTAACAACGCAATATGCACCGTAAGATCACTGCACAGAGCTCAGTTTGCAGTAACACCACCATCTTTGCAATGTGCATTACAACTGGTCTACAAACAGGGCTCATATTGCTAGCCAGGTAGCCTTTATATGCGATAATACAACTGGTGACAACCCCAAAGAATTAAAAGAGTGGAGTTGGTGGCCATTCATAAATGAATAAAGTGGAATGTTCACCTTCAGGTTCTTGCTTCGGCGGGGGAGCGGGAGCAACGTCTCGGATCTCTCCCTCGGCATCTACTATTTCTGCTAGTCTGTAGTCTTCGGCCTGAAAAGAAAAAAAATTGTCGATTTTAAAAATACTAAGGTTAAGTTCAGACGAACGCGCGACTAGGCGCAGTAAGTCATAAAAGTAATTTAGGTTCTGCAAATAGGTTTTAAAAAGCGCTTTTACAATGGTAAAGCGTGGTTTTGGCCGCAAGCACAGATTTCAAGCGTCACTAAGGCCCAGTTTTTTGATTCGTAGATAAAATAACTAATTGTTAAATTTTGCTACTAATGGTTAAATATTAATCAATTGTAAACAAATAGTTAACAAATGTACTAAAAGTCAAGCTAACCATTTTTCGAAAAACACATTTTTCTGATATTTAACCACTTGTCATTTGACATCTGTTAAATTTAAGTATTGGTTATTTTAACTATGAATCAAAAAACTGGGACTAAGAGTCTCTGTGCAGAGTGGGATTCGCAAGTGCATGTCAACGGGTAAAACTGTCCAGCGCCTCGTGTTGCTACATTACCGACCGTATAACATGAAACATAGGGTTTTATTTAAATTATTTCCTTCTTGTTCTCTTCGCCGAGCCTCATCAGGTCTGCACTGGTCATAAAGCACGTGTTAGGCCCGGTTTCCACCAAGGCGGAGCAGAGCGTACCCACATTGTCATAGTCTGTCACCCATATCGTTACAGTCCATGTGATATGGCCTGTCTCCCACATCGTCACAGTCCATGTGATATGGCCTGTCACCCACATCGTTACAGTCCATGTGATATGGCCTGTAACCCACATCATTACAGTCCATATGATATGGCCTGTCTCCCACATCGTTACAGTCCATATGACATGGCCTGTCTCCCACATCGTCACAGTCCATATGAATGATATGGCCTGTCTCCCACATCGTCACAGTCCATATGATATGGCCTGTCACCCACATCGTAACAGTTCATATGATATGGCCTGTCTCTCACATCGTCACAGTCCATATGATATGGCCTGTCTCCCACATCGTCACAGTCTATGTGATATGGCCTGTCTCCCACATCGTCACAGTCCATATGACATGGCCTGTCTCCCACATCGTCATAGTCCATATGATATGGCCTGTCACCCACATCGTCATAGTCCATATGACATGGTGAGCCACCCACATTGTCCCCTGGACACAATCCATATGACATGGCCTGTCAGACCCCAGTCACCTTGATGAGCTCGCCGTAGTCGTCGTGTCGCGCGCGCTCCTCGTGGAAGGGATACATGGCGTGGTGCCGCCCACATCGTCACAGTCCATATGACATGGCCTGTCTCCCACATCGTCATAGTCCATATGATATGGCCTGTCACCCACATCGTCATAGTCCATATGACATGGTGAGCCACCCACATTGTCCCCTGGACACAATCCATATGACATGGCCTGTCAGACCCCAGTCACCTTGATGAGCTCGCCGTAGTCGTCGTGTCGCGCGCGCTCCTCGTGGAAGGGATACATGGCGTGGTGCCGTTTGTTGGTCTTGAAGCAGCCGGCCGGCCGCGCGTCGTGGCGCACCGGGATATCGTGGCGGCCGGTTACCACCCACATCTCTAGCTCGCCGTCCGAGTCGGAGTCTGAAGATATGCCCGCTGTTTCTTCCCTGGAGACAATATAAATAAGGTTAATTTTAGACTAGAGCCTGGTCCGTGAGCACGTAGAATTTTGTCCAATGACCCCAAGCTGCCCATCCTTATCGCTCGCGCGTAATTATATTGCTGTCGCGACTGTGCGACGGGCGCCCGCAGTGAGTGTGCGAGCGCGACAGCAACATAATGACGCGCGAGCGATAAGGATGGGTAGCTTGGGGTCATTGGACAAAATTCCACGTGCTCACGGACCAGGCTTTAGGAAAGAGAGGACAGACGCGCGGCCATGCGTGATTTATTGCCACAGTGGCTGTGTCACGGTGCCAAAAAGTCACACGAGCGAGCATAGCCTTATGAACACACGAAAAGATCACAAACAATCTACTTGGAATAAATGATGAAGAAAACTTTTGATTAGCAGTGACCATACCAAAAAATTAAGAAAAGAAGGAATGAAGGTAATAAAGATCATCAGAGAGACCAAGATCTAATTAATCTACATTTTATAAATCAAGTCGGCAGCATAACTGCGAAAAAGTGAGTGAATAAAAGCTACGGGCGCTGTCCTGTCATAGGAGTTAGTCGAAGTTACCGTGTGGTATTCTGCTCGAAACGTAAAATGTATAATCTCACTTTTTTTTTTTGACAGTATTATTTAGCTTGAACCGCTGCTGCTGTAAGAACTCGTCCAGCTCGGCTCCTTCTAACCGCACCACCAGCTCTATAGCGCGGTCGCCGCCTACCACCAGCTCCCGGGCTAGCCGTATAGTCTAGGAGTCTAGGGACATGTTAGCGANGGTAAGGCGTCGGTGACCGCGACAGTACCTAGCAGTCAGCACAATAGTTCTGCGGATCAGGCGCCTAAAACGGGAACAGGTCTCAGCAAATCCTGCTTCCAGATCGGGAAAGAAAGCCACCAGATTGGGTACAGAGTGGCACACCTAGAGGTGAGGTAGCGCGAACAGGTCAAGTTTCTCAGGTTTTAACCTAACTTTTTTGTTCAGTTGAAACTTGTTTTTTAAAGAAAATTACCTGGCAGTCAGCACAATAGAGTTCTGCGGATGCGGTGCCCATAGCAGGAACAGGTCTCGTGCAAATCCCGCTTCTAAGTCAGGGAATGAGGCCAGCACGACCTTAGGGCCAGGGGTCCTCGTGACCTCGCCCACAGAGTGGCACAGCTGCAGGTGACGTAGCGCGAACGGGTTGGAGCGCGCGTCTTCGAATGCTCGCGTTAGCTTGTCATCCATTCATCATCATCATCATTTCAGCCATAGGACGTCCACTGCTGAACATAGGCCTCCCAAAATGCTTTCCATGTTGATCGATTGGTAGCTGCCTGCGTCCAGCGCTTCTCTGCTACCTTTACAGAAGCTCAAAGTTGCACAGCGTGCTATGGAGACGGCTATGCTTGGTGTCTTTACGAGATCGAATCAGAAATGAGGAGATCCGTAAACGAACTAAAGTCGCTGACATAGCCCGACGGATTAGCAAGCTGAAGTGGCAATGGGCAGGGCACATAGTACGTAGAACTGACGGCCGATGTCATTTATTAATCACACACAATTTTACAACAATAGTTCTGCGGATCAGGCGCCTAAAACGGGAACAGGTCTCAGCAAATCCTGCCTCCAGATCGGGAAAGAAAGCCACCAGATTGGGTACAGAGTGGCACACCTAGAGGTGAGGTAGCGCGAACAGGCCAAGAGTTTCTCAGGTTTTAACCTAACTTTTTTGTTCAGTTGAAACTTTTTTTTTAAGAAAATTACCTGGCAGTCAGCACGATAGAGTTCTGTGGATGAGGTGCCCATAGCAGGAACAGATCTCGTGCAAATCCCGCTTCTAAGTCCGGGAAGGAAGCCAGCACTACTTTTGGTCCAGGGGTCCTCGTAACCTCGCCCACAGAGTGGCACAGCTGCAGGTGACGTAGCGCGAACGGGTTGGAGCGCGCGCCCTCGAATGCTCGCGTTAGCTTGTCATGTTCAATATTTGATAAAACATGATGTTGCTGCAAGCTGCAATAACCTTTCTCGAGTGGATATCTTACTTGAGAGAAATTTCTTCTTTAAACAAACATCAATCCAACGGGCAATCCATGCACATGTAGTTCTTATTAATATTGATTGAGAAATTATTGATTTTAGATAAAATTTGTTTAAAGAAAAACACGTTTTTACGATGAAAATTTTTGACGTTTTTTTTTTTAATAATGTCACAGTTGTAGACTTGAGACGGAACTAAATTGATTAAAGTGAAAATTACGACTTTGAATTAATATACTTTTAAATAAACATTTTATTTATAGAATGCATATAGATTCAATAAAATAATTTATAAATAAAAGTTGAAGTTGTAATTCGAAAATGTTTACTAACTTGATTCCAGACACGCAAAAGACCATTGCCATTGTCGCATAAAGGACAACTATAAAAAAAGTCACTTCCTCTCGGAACTGTCAAAAAAATTCACTCTCTATGGAGCTGTCAAACTCTATGGCGTTTCCACCCCGTGGTCAAACGTGTACCTACCTTGGTCACAGGGTGCGCGGCGCGTTCGATTTTATAATTATTTTATTGATTTCTTATTAGAAAAGTAGTGATAATTGATATAAAACGATCCGATATAACTTTCCGATCGATTCGGGGTGTGATTTTATTTACGCAACGTGATTTGAATTACTTGTGACCGTGATATTGAACTCTGCTTTATAACCTTGAATATTGTGATGACCATTGCTCAGATATAAGTTTTTTTTTGTTTTATACTTGTTTGTGCGTAAGACAGTAAAATTGCGACCAGTTTTTGCACTCGTAAGTAGTTTGTTTACGTTATTTTTCAGGTATGTCGTAAGGTTATGTAAACCGTGAGTTAGGTTATCCTGTACGTTTAAAATGGTGTAACAGGTATTTCTTACCTATTACGGCCTCCGCATATGTTTTTAAATGTATAAAAATGCTTTAGAAGATGCCCAATTTATTGTTTCTATAACACTGTTCCCTGCTTAATAGTATTATGTACCAGTCTCTCTGGTGATATCAACATTTAAAAGTTATAAAATAGTATCAGTTATAAATAATAGTTTAACTGCTATTTTATTGAGTAAAGTAGGATAAAGTAATGTTTATTTACATTTTAATAATTCTATGAAAAACTAAAAACCAGTTTTAGTGGGTATTAAAGAGTATTACTATTCATCAATTACATTACAGTATTATGGAATATCCTTGACCTGTTACATTATAAAAGCATTGAAAATAAAAAATATTTATGTGGTTTTTAAATATAATCATTTTTTATTGTTGTGTAAAATTCTAAAAACATTGTTTTTCTTTTCAGGAACCATGCTATAAAGTCCACAATCGCACTAAGATGTTCAATACAACGTTAAAACAATGCAAACCGTTACAAATCAAGACTTTATTGCAATACAGAAACGTCACATTTGCGTCCAAACATAAACTAGTCGTAACAGCACAGTTCCACTCTTGCTTATGCAGGCATCGTCAGGATTTCTTCAAGAATGCACGGACTCACTCGACGCAAAGCGACCAGCATAGACAAAAAGTAGTCATAGAGACAACAGAACCAAAAATCGTCATAGACAACAAAGTATTGCCAGACGAAAAGCTTATAGATGAGAAAACGCTGCAGGAGTTTTGGAAGAGGAAAGTGTTGCCATATGTACAATTAGCAAGATGGGACAGGCCTATAGGTTGGTATGATGATTAACGTATGTACGTAAAAGTATAGGTCTAGTTTAATAATAAATAACTTGAAAAAATCTAACTGCCTAAGGCGGGAATTGAACCCACGACCTTCCGCTTGCCGGGCGACTGCTCTTCCAACTGAGCTACTTAGACACTGGATGAACCCGTCGAAATTTTCAAGTGTAATACGCTGTTACGGCCAGCGTTTTCTCAAGTTATTTATAATTTTCAAATTAGTTTGAGATGCGACTCTTAACGCTAAAAATTAAATAACTATGTAAAAAGAGCTGTTTCATCTTAACTGACAGTCAAATATTTGCAACAATATTTCTGTTAGATGTAGGGTAGGTATACTCAACATTGATGAAACAAACGCTGGCCGTAACAGCGTATTACACTTGAAAATTTCGACAGGTTCATCCAGTGTCTAAGTAGCTCAGTTGGAGGAGCAGTCGCCCGGCAAGCGGAAGGTCGTGGGTTCAATTCCCGCCTTAGGCAGTTCGATTTTTTCAAGCTATTTATAATTTTCAAATTAGTTTGAGATGCGACTCTTAACGCTAAAAATTAAATAACTATACAGGGTGACNGGGGTCCTCGTGACCTCGCCCACAGAGTGGCACAGCTGCAGGTGACGTAGCGCGAACGGGTTGGAGCGCGCGCCCTCGAATGCTCGCGTTAGCTTGTCGCTCATCCATTCGATCTGAGGAATGTTTGATTAATATTATAGCGGGAAGTAAGATAAATGCCAGTTCAACATGTTGTTTCTGAGAACATCAATGGCAATAGAAATAGAAAGGTAAGAAAGTAAAAATTTGGTTTATTGGTCACCTCGATAAACGACAACGCGCCACTTTGCTTTTTAATTGATAAGTTTCATATCCAAGCCTTATGTAATATTCTATTCTTTGTCTGCCAGTCGTGAATTGGATTTAACAGAGACAGTTTAGTGTCATTGGTGCTTTATTATGTTTATTAGTTATTGGAATCAGTTAAGTCATTGAATATGCCATGCATTGACAAGTGAATGAAAATAATGTAAGTTTCCTAGGTTCAAATATCAGATTTTTATCACATACCTAGAATCTGGATTGTCTAAAACTAAGTAGAGTATTAATTAAAAATCATACCTGTGATTTCGCGAACTCCACAACGTTATAGCTAACGTTGGATAACAACAGCAGTGAGTACGCAACCAGTCCAGAATCCTTGTTCCTCCACAACTGGTCCAACATATGAGCCAGCTCTAACACTCGGCCCGCGGTGTCTGTGCAGACGAGCACGCAGCCTCCTCCTCGGAGGGTCGTGAGGATTGTTGCTGGAAACAAATTGAAAGCCTGGTTTTAGTGTCATGCGGACTGTCTGTATGAACTGCTAGGGAGCGGAGCGGTTCCTCCGGACCGCATTACTCTAAAACGCTCCTTGGAAGTTCATGTATAGATTGGCCGTGCGGAGCGAGTCCGCACCGGATGGTNGAGTTAAAAAAAACCGCGGCGGCACGACCTCTAAATTTTGATGGCAACGTGACATTTTTGAGGTCAAATTAGGTTCCGATGTTTCAGCTCGAGCTGCAAAACTGTTTTGAATGCATGGGAGGCGAGTGTGTTGACGAATACAATGACAGATTCGTGGAAATCGTCTAATGACTCGGCATTAATATTACAGTAAATATTAAAATATGTTTCTCAGCGCAAAATTTTGGACAGTCGGCGGTGGCGGCGGCGACGCACTCTGTCTAAACGGCGGCGGCACGCATGTCTAGTAAGAATCTCTCAAGTATTGTACAAGATAATTATCATAATAATTATTTAGTCAATTAGTCTCCAGACAGAAGAACACAACCCTCTCTTATTTACCAGAGACAAATGGAAGCTTCACTCCTCATTCTGACCAGATGGTAGGTAGGAATTAATGTTAGAGTTATTTTATATGTATAACTGAGGGCATGACAGCCAGAGGTCTAAGAATATAATCACTTCTTTTTAAGATTTAAAAGCAAAGATTTAATAAGCGAGTCTATGACGGGTAATAATATAAAAATCTCTTTAGCCTAAGGGACTAAAAAAAGTATCTAAAGAAGTAAGTAACAAGTGGATTCAATAGATGGTGGTGGATAGATTGATGATGAGATTTGTGATCTAACTTAATTCAAATTCTATAAGAAACATTGATATTGCTATAAATTACTGTATTGGATTGAAAAAGAGGCTGACAAAGGTGACTGTGTTTCTTTCGCCACTTCTTCTCAGCACCAGCCCATAATTATGTTGTCCCGAAGAGGTGGTAGGGCAAGCTATATTTGGGACATGTATAAGTGCCCTGGAAACGGCCTGTGTACTGAATAAACTATTTGAATTTGATAACTTACTCATAAGCTTTTCATCTCTCAACCTCCTTCTTTGCTGCACATAATCAGCATTCATAGCTCCCAGCAGTAACAGTGACGGTCTCATCAGTCTTTCTATCTCGCATCCGTTCAAGTGCCGTTCCTTCTTGTGGTTGAAGTCGGGGGCGTACACTATGTCCTCTTCGCCTGGTGCTACGATGCGCCAGACTGTTCCACCGAGGGAGTGGCCGGCTGGGAGCGGAGTTATGCGGAGGCCTAAGCCTTTGCCTGTAATTGTTAAAAGAACTACATGAGTATATTAGAGACATAGCATAGATTTGGGAAGGCTTATGGACATTAGTTTCAGGTAGACCGTTTGGGGAAAACAAAAAAGGTAAAGAAACGATAGCTTCACCTAAAATCAGGTCTATCCAGGAGATAAAATTCACAGTTTTATTTGGTTATGTGGTGGTTTAACAAAGGTCAGCATTGCATCATTCATGTTAATAAACGGTTAATAGTTTAAAGTACAAAATATATCAAAGAATCTTACCTTTCATATCAACACTCTGATTATACTTCAACTGTACAATCTTGTCGAACGCTGCATCTACATCGTCCAATGTAAACAGATCGAACTCCGACACATTCCTGTGTGCCTGGTACAAGTCGTACATGAACATTTGGCCCATTTTGTAGATCGGTAATGTGGCATATATCGGACAGTTGAGACCGAGCTTTCCGACTGCATAAGGTAATGCACCAAGATGCAACGGGTCTGAATGTGATATTAACACTGCATCTATGCTGTTTATATGTCTGTGGATATACAAAGACATGCTTTAGGAAATACACTAGTGATATGGCAGGATAGACAATACAAACACAAAAATTGTACCTTGATTATTCAGAGAGAAATAACAAACTTGTTACTAAAATGGCATGAAAATTAATTGATGGCGTATTTAAACTACTTTTAATAAACTTATTATAACGGAAATAAGTAACAGAATCCCTCTTTGAATGTATTTATTTGGTACAGTCAAACAAACAACATAACCTCAAAATGTACCTTTTCAATTCCTTTATGAAGTCCATATCGAATTTCTCATCCCAACCGCAGTCCAGCAGGAACTTAAACTCATCTATCTGAAGCACGTAGCATGGAGGAGACTCATCACCAGCGCCCGAGAGGCAGTGAAGTTTGATGATGGAAGTCATCTTGCTTGGTGAACTCTTTTGCCACTTTCGACTATTCAATCATAATTATTTAACTGGAATAAGACCTTGAATAGGGTCTTTTTTAATTGTTGATATTGTGATTATTGTGTTGAGCGGTTGATAAAAAATAGTTTTACAAAACCGGCGCCAACAACTCAAAAACAGCGAACCATAGACTAAAATTTAATTTTTTAAGAAGTCTGATTTTGTTGGATGACGTTTACGGATTTGGATTCAAGCTCTTTTAGCCAATAGAAAATGTAGCGTAACCATAAACAAAAATAATTGATAAATAAACCTTTCCCTATCATCCGTAAATACATTTTCCCTGTGATGCAGGCTTCCCGTATTTCATTATTTTGTACCATCGGCAACAGTGTTAACTATCCATTGCCTGTCATGTCGTCTCGTTCTATCGCAAAGAATCACCATTTGATGAGCGAGAGCAAAAACGGAAATCAGTGTGGCCGTGTGAACATGAATTTTTCTATTACGCCGAAGTCCGAACGCGGATTCGCTGCGGGCACACAAAACGAAATCTTTGTCAAGCGTGCAACCAGCAGCACGCACGTGGCACCTCCGCATGCATACCGAAATCCGCATGACATGAAAAAGGTACTAGGTACTTACTTATCTGCTCCTTACGTTAAAAAAAATAGAAGTAAAGAATGAAATTTATTGACATTTAACATCACATAACATCTTATTTAGTTGTTCAATATCAAACACTCGCCTTCTAAAACCATCGAACATTTCCTAAACAAGACGTATCAACAGAACTACGCAAAGTTACTTTATAATCATGTCAGGATCGATCATTCAGCTTTAGTACCACATTATTCAACAAATCTTTCATAGCTAAGGTGTTAATATCCTTTTCGTTATTTTGAAATTGAGCACTCAGATTAGTAATAGGTGATTGTCTGTCTAAATTTATATTTCCTGATGCCTTGACACAATTTGCAGTTACCTCTGACGATTTAATAAAATCTTCGTTGCCCTCATTATTCTCTTTAACAATCAGACCATCAGCATTTACAATTCTAACTTCAGATTTTACCAAATGTACTTTTTCAGTTTCTAGTGTTTCAACATAGTCTGAAGCAGTTTGCGATTTAGTATTTATAACAGTATTACTACGGTCTTGGTCCAGCACATCGTCATTATCGTTATTTGCTCTGTCTACAACACTATTTGAAGGAACTTCGATCAGCTCAGAGTAAATTGTACCAAGGAATATTGGTTTTGGCTGAACATTGTCGGATATAGCTTCAACTTCTTTTGCTGTAACATTTTGGATTGGTCTTTCGTTTGAAATTTCTAGGCCTGGATCTGTCCTTCTTTCTTCTTGAGGGTATCTCCTTTCAGCTATTTCTAAAAGGGGTCTCTGGACCTGAGTTACTCGGCCAGCAGGGCTTTTGTTTTGGAGCGTAGTCAACCGCTCTTCAAGATGAACTTCTGAAATAATGAGCAGTATTAATACTCTTGCTAGCTTTTGCTAGCTAGTTGAGGGCACCAGACCACGTGGTAGATCACCAATGAGATGGACGGACCAGATCAAGGCCGCAACTAAGTGCTCGGTTAGCGAAAGTACCCGGAAAGCTGCAGTCCGCGAGGAATGGCGCCGTATTACGAGGAATTAACATCACTCTAAATCGTGATTCAAAATGATGATCACGACCACTCTGACAAGAGTGTACCGACTGAGAAGAAGAATTATAACTTAACTAAATAAAGGTGAAGGGGTCGGACTAACCGGTTCGAAATCCAAGGAACGTTTGACTATTGTGGTAAGCCCACTTGTAACAAAAGCATATTTAGCCAAGTATGAGGGGCTAACGGGACTAGTAGTAATTGTGCAATACCAATTACGAATAAACTTAAAAAAATGGAGCAGTATTTTCGAAGGGAAGTAGTCTTATTCTTTAAAGTCTCATTTGCAATATCGTATCGTATAGAGATTCGTATATGAATTTTGTGCAATCGTATCTCAAACGTTTCAAAAATACACTCTTTTTTGAGCTAGTCCATGGCCTTATTCAGTTATCGTCCATTCAGATTGCAAATTAGGGGTAGGTAGGCATGATTGAGTTTAAAACTTAACGAAGAAGCAATAATGTTCTGATTGCACCCTTATAGACAAGTTCCTTTAACTTCAACTCAAATTGCCAGGCATTCATAGTNCCACTCTGCAAGAGTGTACCGACTGAGAAGAAAAATTAAAACTTAACTAAATAAAGGTGAAGGGGTCGGACTAGCCGGCTCGAAATCCAAGGAACGCTTGACTATTGTGGTAAGCCCACTAGTAACACAAGCATATTTAGCTAAGTATGAGGGGCTAACGGGACTATTAGTAATTGTGCAATACCAATTACGAATAAACTTTAAAAAATGGAGCAGTATTTTCGAAGTGAAGTAGTCTTATTCTCTGAAGTCTCATTTGCAATATCGTATAGAGATTCGTTTATGAATTTTGTGCAATACAAATTGTCTCTAACGTTTCAAAAATACACTCTTCTTTGAGCTAGTCCATAGCCTTGTTCAGTTGTCGTCCATCCAGTTTGCAAACTAGGGGTAGGTAAAGCCTGGTTTTAGGACCAGGCTTTAGCTAGGTAGGCTTGATTGAGTTTAAAAGTTTACGAAGAAGCAATAATGTTCTGATTGCACCCTTAAAGACAAGTTCCTTTAACTTCAACTCAAATTGCCAGGCATTCATAGTAAGTATCCATCGCTTTGTTTCAAACTCTACCTCTGCGGCTTTGTTCGAAGGTCTCGCGTCAATCTTGGGAACTTTATAACCATTACCGTTAATTTTGTTCACTATGTAGTTGAGCAACAGGCAGCCGGTGAATACGCTCAGTGATATTAGAGCGTACGCCAACCAGCCTGGGGTCCACGCCTGAAAATAGTTTGCGATTCAGTCGGACTTGTAAATGGGCAACGATTGTAACGCCCGAATTCACAAACGATGCTTGCTTAAGTGAAGCAGCAAATCAAACGCACAGCGTTGAAGCTCTGTGATTATTTCGTGTGTCACCCTGTGCGTCCACGCGCACTGTGTGACCTCATAGTAATGTTTGTGAATACGGGCGTTAATATTGCTATTAATTTTATGCAGTGTTCCTTTGTCCGAACAAACTACCTATGTGATGACTAGTTGTCATCTTTTGTATGCCCTTTAACACCTCCTCGTGGCAAAGTGGTAGAAAGAAAGGGCTTGGATTCAATTGCCAGTAGGCCCTACTGAGTAGGGACACAAATAAAATACTAATTCCCAGTTTGGTGAATATGTCAACGTGAAATTGTGAACTCTGTCAGTTTATAATATAACGCGTTGGTTAGATTGTAAACTAACAGTGGGTTAGGTTAGGTTAGATTGTAATTTAACTACGTCAGATTATAATCTGACGGAATTCACAATTTTACGGTGACAAATATATTATGTAGCTATACAGGCTTTAATGAACTTGATTTTCTTGCTTCACAGGTCACTGGGTCTACTTTGCTTTGATGCCTATGGGCGTCTCATGAGCCTGACCATAAGTATCTACCACAAGCAACACAACCGAAAGAGCTACCTACTTAAAATCTTACTTTTTGCTGTAAAACCTCAGTAATCATTTAAACCCACAAGTTAACCGTACGATTAACGATCGACTGACCGATCGTCCGACAAATCGGGCGGTCTCAGCGCCTCTCGCATGTGGGTAGGCGTTATGTACGGGTAATTACCTCCTAATGCCTCTTGGCTTTAACTTTTGTAGCTCGTTAAAGTATTATGTAGAGCTGACTTGACGTAGCGGTGTTGCGCGGAAGGGCGATGACCTGTTTACTAAAAAATAAAGCCTATTTTGTTTAGCCTTACTGAAGAAAAAGGACCTTATTACTTTAATATTGTTTTCAATATAATGAACTCCGAACAGGAACCTAATATAACAGCTAAAAGGGAACGGGAATATTTGGACTTAAAAGAACTCTAACCATCTTGTCTCATCACTTTCAATCCAATTATAGTCCAAAGTTTTATCTTTTCTTTTGTGAACAATGAATTTCAGCAGATTTCATCACAACTTGATGATAGTAATTTGGCAGAAAAATGACAGAACTAAAATGACACAAAAATATCAAAACCAAAGAAATGAATCAACTGAAACCTTCTGAAACAAAAATCACTTTAAGCTAGGTACTCACTATCTCATTTATGGTCAATAATAATTTATTAAATAGGTATTCTATTCACGAACCNCCTGTATAGATCTAGTGCTTAACTTAGTGCCTGAGGTATGAGAGTGGTGACATTGATATGTCATGACGTGACAGACCAAATAAGTGGGCAGTGTAGTGGGCAATTCACCCCTTTTTTTACAAGCTTTTTACAAGCTTTATATTGACTTCACTTGTTAGTATGTGTGGGACAAATCTTGCAACTGAATTTAAGACCACTTCTCCTCAACCGATTGAGCTGAAATTTGGTATACTTATGTAAGTACGATGACAATGCAATATTATGGTACCATTGAGCTGGTCTGATGATGGAGTCGGGAGGTGGCCATAGGAACTCCTAAACAAAACGGCGGAAACTCATTNCTTTATCTCTCTCTCTCTTTAATACATCAAGTGATAATAGTTCTGTTGAAGAATAACCATTGTTCAGATCAGCTTAAGCAATCACTCTAATAAAATACAGATACTTTGTTTTAAATAGTATTCTAAGTTAGATGTTGATTCATTACCATTTTGGAGCATGATTACATTATTAAAATCATGATTGAACATGTAATACATGTCTTAAAGTACCAGGAGGTACTTTTGAATGTTAAAGACGGATCTTTAACATCTTAGTTTATTTTATAATCTTTAAATTTATTTTTAAATGTATAAGATTCTAGCTGATTATGTTGAAACTTATGTATTCATTTGCATTAATGTATGTAATTTTCATTTTTAATATGTATTCTCATCCTTCAATCAAAATCGATGGGTGCCTGGAATAAAGCCGCAATCGACAAAACACAATTTTACAGGAGAAGAGATTTAGTGAAATTTTTGAATAATAACTAAACTACGAGGCGTATCCAAATGGTTTGTATATCAAACGATGCGTATTTTTTTCTGGAGTAACATATAATGTGCATAAGGTTATAGTGCTTAGAATATACCTTAAAAAAGGTAGAAATACATATTGCCGCCTCATACATTGAAAGTCGGTTCCGTAAGAGTCCATTGTGGTTTTATTCCGGTAAAAAGTGCAAAAGTAATCATACAGCAATAGTGCATTGCAGCGTTGTGCGCTGNTATTGTAATTACTATATTGAACTTGCTATAATTCTTAAACGAAGGGACTCGTTTAGAATCGGATGGCCGACTGTAACAATTTATTAATCCATTTCCGGTTTATTTCAACATTTATCTAATATCTGGTTAAGTTGTAATAGTTGCTGATTTGACTTGTGACAATTTATTATTACACTTCCGTTATATTTAAACATTTTACTTGACATCCGGTTAAATAATAGTTGCTGATTTGACTTGTACTACCGGTGGGGATATAACCAGCCATTCGACTCGGAACGAGCTCAGTCGTACGAATACTACGAAAGTGCTAACAAGTGTTACTTTGAGTTGTGAATGTTCAATTTAATCAATATAAAAATTGAATTGAATAAATCGTTTTATTTCGAGAGAAAAGGAGTATAAGTGAGGTGCAGTTTTCAAACCGCTGCTGTACCCGGAGCACGAATAATCGTTATCGTTATAGTATGGTAGTCGTTTTTTTATAAGAAAAATAAAACAGCGCCGCTACGGTTGTTTATGGAATACGATTACTAGAGTTATTCGTGCTCAGGCTACAAGTTCTTGTTCTAGTCTAGCCTTCCAGTCTCCCAGATCGTGAGCGCTTCCAAGTCGATGTTCCAAGTTGTCTGCCTGCCTGTCTGCAAACCGCTGAAAAAAGCTGCTGTTATGTTCTTCGACGAACAACACCTCTTATTTACCAAGACGTATTTTTTGCCCTGAACCGATATCTGCTTGGTATTGTGGATCGAAGTAATACTTTATAGAAATGTGCATTTATGACCGTTGTCTAGGTTCCGGAACTACATAATACTAATGCACTTGTTTGCTAGTTGCTGATTGCACCCGTAATTGTTTCGTAACTCGCGGGTCCTAACAATTCCGGCACTTACCCCGAAATTGAGGAGATAGGTGTAGCTGAGTAGGAGGTGCCATGATTTTGCTAGATTCAGGACACTTTCTGCCAAACTGCTTTAAGTATGTGATAGTTCTCACGCCCGTATTCACAAACATCCTACTATGAGGTCTCCCAGTGTACGTGGACGCACAGGGTGACACACGAACAAATCACAGAGCTCCATTCAACGCTGTGCGTTCGATTTGCTGATTCACTTAAGCAAGCATCGTTTGTGAATACCTACGGGTGCTATTCACTTTTATAGGTTTAACTGTTTCTTAATTGTCACTTGGAATTTAGGAATCGCTAAGAAATCATGAATATCTTTATTATTTGACACAAGTCTTACATACTATTCAGGCACTACTATAAGGAGTGGAGTGGGTGAAGAGTGACTGCCACAAATTGAAACTACTTACATAGAGAGGTTTCTTTCAATTATCCTTAAAATACTTTAGCATTAAATGTCTAACATAGCTACAATATAATGTAGCACATCTACATAATTTTACATAGCCTTATTTAATTCTCCTACCGTAAACTACTGTCACTACTACCACTTACACATATTTTCAATTAAGTCTCAAGTGTCCCATAATACCTCGAAAACGTGGTAACTTTACCGTAGACAATGTTAACAATCGTAACAAGCAAAAGCGATGTTCTTGAGTGCTACTTAAGTATAATAAACTTTAAGATATGAAGTCTGAAGTATCGTGTTACAGACTCGAGTATTTGCCATTTTGAAACAGTTATAAGGAAGTTGGTTTATGTATAGGGTTATTTTAACGAGCTGTTTCGAGGAAACTGGTTATCCTATCAGCCGACCTGGGTATTTTTTGCTGGAACTAGATTAAACCTGAGTTGGTGGAGAAGATTTAACAAGGCTAGGGCCTGTTTCTGAATTGAGAATTACCTACAATATGAGCTTCTACTCAAGGATTATTTTATATTTTTTTAATACCTATGTAGGTATACTTACACTATTTAAAAATGCAGTGTGTTCACATTTCTTATAGGCATACACAACATTGATAGGTATTTAATTTAATATGAAAAGTTCATACAAGAATAGAAGATGATACTCATCTCAAGCCAAAAATCTCAACGACCCTACAATGTATTTTCTATTGAGAAAGAGAGAATGCATCGTTTAATGAGTCTTGCAAACAAAACGTACCTAATTAAAGTAGAGTTCCTAGCACTGATCCTGATTGTTTAATAATATCCCTAGTGATATGCTTATTAATAGCAGACATGTTTTCATACATCAATATGTCCCTATCCAACTTGTGTAGAGCTACACGTTCATCTAAACCGATCCAATCAGGAAGTTTTGATTCACCCAAATAAAGTTTAACCAGTCTTGCGAGAAATTGTTTAATCAACAACTCATCAAGATAGCTTACATAATAGCTATGTACAGTCGCAGAATGAAAAGGTTCGTCACCTTAGTGTCGGTTTTCGCTTGCACTAGGTACTGTAAGAGTCAAACCTGCCAACATAACAGTGCAAGAAACAGTGCTGCTAACATTTAAATAAATATGACGTTTGCTAACGAATAAGGTTTTGCTTGTTTATTTTTCTAACCCAGCAGTGGAATGTTACAAAATGTAGTTTTTATTTTATTTAATAGATAATGGCAGGTTGAACCAACAAGAAGGTTTTAGTTTATCAATCATAATAATCTTCTTGACAAGATAAATCGT